TCTCCTCTGGATTCTCTCAAGCTTCTCCACATCTTTTTGAATTGTGGAGTTCAAAACTGGATGCAGTACTCCAGGTGCAGCCTCACCAAGGCTGAGTACAACAGGAGAATGAAGTCCCAGGATTTTCTTGAGAAGAATCTATAGATGCAAGCCAGTGTTTTGCACACTTTACTAGCTGCAGCATCACACTGAAGGCTCACGTTCATCTTGTGGTCAATGATGACCCTCAAGTCTCTTTCTTCCGTAGTGCTAGCCAGCCTAGCACTGCTGAGCCTATAAGCATGCTGCGGGTTTTTCTTCCCAAGGTGGAGAACCTTGCATTTTCCAGTGTTAAACATCATCAGGTTTTTGTCCGCCTATTTCCTGAGCCTGTCAAGGTCAGCCTGGATCACCATCCTATCCTCAGGTGTGGATGCTTTACCCCAGTGTTTAGTGTCATCAGAGTACTTAGCCAGTCTGCTTCTGATACCAATGTCTACATCATTAATGAAGATGTTGAATAGTGTTGGCTCAAGGACAGAATCTTGAGGGACCCCACTGGTCACAGCGTACCATGATGATTGACTTCCATCAGCCAACACCCTCTGGGTCCTACTGCGGAACCAATTCCCCAGCCAGTGAATTGTGGTGAAGCCAACGCTGCAGTTGGCAGGTTTTGCCAAGAGGTGATCATGGGATACCAGATCAAAGGCTTTTTTAAGTCAAGATATACAACATCAATCTCTTCTCCCTTGTCCAGGTGATAGGTCACTTGGTCATAAAAGGAAATAAGATTGGTTAAGCAAGACCTACCTGCAACAAACCTGTGCTGCCTATCCCTCAGGATACTGCCATCAGCCAGTCTGTTAAGTATGGCCTTTTTGATAATCTTTTCTAAGACCTTCCCCAGAATAGAGGTCAGGCTGATGGGCCTGTAGTTTTCCGGGTCCACTTTCCTCCCCTTCTTGAAGATAGGCACCACATTGGCCTTCTTCCAGCCGTTGGGCACTTCACCAGAGCACCAGGAGTTCTTGAAGATCTGTCCCAGTGGCTGAGCTATGATGCTTGCCAGCTCCTTGAGTACCCTGGGGTGTAGACTGTCAGGGCCGGCTGACTTGAAGGTGTCCAGCCTCTTAAGGTGTTCCTTCACAAGGTCAGCATTCATGGAGAGGTAAGGAATCATCCTCACCCAGGCGTTCCTGTCCTGTAATGGGCAGGGGCACCTCTTGGGACTGGTAAAAAACTGAGTCAAAGTACCCAGTTAGCAAGTTGGCTTTTTCCTGGGCATCAGTTGTCAGTTGTCCCATCTGGTTTAGCAGGGGTCCGATGTTGCCCTTGCTTTTCCTCTGGCTCCCCACATATTTAAAAAAATGACTTTTTATTATCCTTGATACTTGTAGCCAGTTGGAGTTCAGTCACAGCCTTGGCTTTCCTGGTTTGCTCCCTGCAGGTCCGGACCAGTTCAGAATATTCCTCCTTGGAGGTGGGTCCAGTCCTTTATCCTTTGTAGGTCTTTCTTTTTAGACGCAGGAGGTCCGTTAGTTCTCTGCAGAGCCAAGGGGTCTGCTGTGCCCTTTTGCTGCCTTTCCTCTGCGACGGAATAGACTTAGCAAGATAGGCTAGCATAATACATCTTAATAAGATACATGGTAGTGTCCATTGAGCATAGTCTCACTCAGTGCTGACTCTTTTTCAAGTCATGGTGAGCTGCAACATTGAATAGATTGCATCTTTCTCTTCAGTCCCACAGCTCAGCTGGACCTTTCCCCCTCATTTCCAATCAATCCTGTTTTTAAACCAGTCTTACATGTCTGGCAAATATCACCCAATAGGGCCCCAAACAGCATAATCAAAACTCTGTTGCCCTCTCTCTCAGCCTGTTGCATATGATTAGTGTGACCCACCATCCACAAAGTGGGACCAGACCTGGTTTTCCTGTGCCTCAGCTGCACAGGGTGATCTGGTCTGGCTTGAAATCATTCTGTATATATATAAGCCTTTGTCTGTCTGTCCATAATGTTTTATTCACACTCTGATTGGTTGTCTGAAACAACCAGAGTGCTCCAAGAGCATTTGGGACAGGAGGCAGTGGCTGGAGCACCACCATGATGGTGGGGACGGAGCTGATGGAGCTGGGGACAGGGGCAGGGAATGAAGCCAGGTTGATGTTAAATAGCTTGTTAGGTAAGTTACTCATCAGAGCCATCCCAATCTTGATTCCAGCTTCAAAGTTTTTTTACTCTATGATTCCTGCCTGTCCTAGTCTTGTCAGATGCTTCCAACCCAAATGTCTGCTGCACTTCTTCGCACTATTTCACCTTAGTGTGGATCAGCTTTACTACAATTAGCTCTAAGCCTTATCCAAAGCGCACCTTGCCTTACTATCTAACCAAGTGCTTGTGGCCCTATAAAGTGCACAGGGCTGAGACTTGAAGTATTAGTATTAGGCAAGGGTTAATTCTTATCTTGTTTCCCAGTCAAGAGTGGCTGCCTCTTGCAGTTCAGTCAGAACTTCCTTAATCTAAGGTACCAAGTGTTCCTCCTGTCCATTTCCTAGCAAGAGAATTAAGGGAGCAAATTATTGTTCTTTTTCTGGATCTGAATGTCGCCACTGGCCCCAGAATGCTCTCATCGGCTTTCTAGGTCCATGGGGAGGTTTCTGTGGTGCCTCACTTGAGTCTCTGTGCCAGTGTCCGCACTCCTCCTCAGCCATGGGCTCCACCAAATATCCTGGCATCTTCAGTGGTCTCTTCTCCCTCTCTGAATTGTCATTCTGATTACCTTTTACCTGGCCAGGCTGCCCATGCTCAGGTCAGCTGTTTCTTGAAAAGGGGACAGGACGCTGCAGCCCACCATTTCTGGTGTTGCTTCAGCAGCTTTCTGTATTCTTCTCCCCCCTGCTGACATGGTAATCTCTTGTTTAACCTTTTCTTGTTCTCATTCTCCTCACGGCAGTATTTGGAGTATACACACATGCTTAGCAGTGCTGAGCTGTGGTGTCATCATGACTTGAAATAATGTTGTTTTTGCTGAGACCTAGAACAATTCTCTTTATGGTAAATCATGAGCCATATGGCTTTGAACTACTGTCTTGCTAGTTTGTGCTATATACAAGTATGTACAAAAGTGTTGCTTAAACGTGTGTTTATGGAGTACCTGTGCTAAAACTTGCAGCAATTTCAAAAGAGAGAAAACTAAAAATTCTGGATGAACTAGGTCTATGGGTTCCTGTAGTATGTTCCCCATATGCAAGTTACTGCAGGTATGTTTATTTCTAGGTTAGTGTTTTTAAACTTGCTTCTCACTTTCAGGTGCTCAGGGGAACATCAGAGAAGGGGGGAAGGTGAAAGAAGATGGGGGGAAAGGGGGCTACTTGACCCCCCAGATTTATTTTCCCTCTTGTATCAGGGGGAGGTGGAAAAAGTCAAGGGAAACCTCCAATAATTAAACTCTGTACCTGGAAAATTATAATACATTTCTAAATGTTCCACATATAGAATCTAGTTATTGGAGACTTGTCTTATAATTAGGGTAATCTTATATTTGTTTAAATATGGTTGGGTTTTTTTGCTTGAATCTGAGAAAAGAGGAGTTTTGACTTTTTGGTGATATATGTCAATATAATCTAAAGCAGGGTTTTTCTAATAATATTAAAAATGTTTTGATGAAAACCCTGAGAGTCCCCTGCACCCGTTACCCACTGTAGCAGTCTGGCAGTGGAGGCTGCTGCCTGGCTGTGACCTGCTGCACATCTGCCAGACCTGGATGGGGACTGCATAGCCAGTAGAGGCCAGTCCCTCTAGGCCAGGCTTGTCCAACATACTGACCGCGGGCTGCCATGCAGCCCTCCAAGCTGTTTTCTGAGGCCTGAGGTGCTGTGACAGGAAATGAAAGTAAACACTGCAGGCAGCGTGCTTTAGCACCTGGGTGAGGGCCAACCACACAGATGCTCTGGCAGCCAGAGCATCTTTGTGGAGGACTCATCCTCTGGCTGCCTCAGGGCATAGTCTGGGACCGTGCCCTGCCCCGCTTGTTTTAGCTCCATTTTTGTTTACCCCTGGATATCCAGGGGTCTAATTTTGCTCCCATGCTGAAAATTTGCAGTGTGGGGGAACCTTTTCCTGTTCCTGCATGTACCTCTTGCAGTGTCTCAAAGGGGTCTGAGATGCTGCAAGAGGCATGTACAGGCTCATCTGGATGCGCCCTGGGTGCCTGAGTGATAACTGATCCTAGCAGGAGCCCCCTCAGTGAAGATTTTTTGTTCAAAGTTACATTTTAACAGTTGTCAGTTAGCCAGTTTTTAAAGATTAATTTAATGTGTGCTATGTTTATTGTTCTAGTTTCTTCATCAAATATCATGAGCTATCAAGTTAAATGCCTCACAGCTGGGGTCAGAAACCTGCAGGCTATATTTGGCCAACAGAGCCATTTTATTTGCCTCTGGAGCTTGTTGCTTCTGCAGTGGTTAGGTGGTAGTGGGATTCAGTAGCATTTTTGCAGCAGGAGGCTTCACCTAGGTAGTGGGTAGAAGTGTCACTGTAAGGCAGAAGTGAGCTATTATTTCAGCTGGATGCCCACTTTTGGCATCCAGCTGAGGGCTGCAAAGGGCTGCAACGGTAACCCTGCCAGGTACCCCATCCCCTGATCGGCATCTTGGGACTGGAAGTCCTGCCTTGACCCTTGACCTTTGCCACTGGATGATCACCCTCTCACCCCCACTACCTTACCCCTGGAAATACTCCTTTCAGGAGGGGATTTGCCATCTTGGAACCAGAAAAAAGACAAAGCATATACTAAAAATCAAATATCTACTGTAACATGTTTTAATTTTATTTCAAAAAATACTTTTGTCCTGATTTATGTGTGCTTGTGTAGTGTATATAGAGGTGATTGCAAAATAGCTCAAAATAAAGTCTTACTCTTGTATATTGTGTGTGGGTGTGTGTGTGTGGGATCTGTGGCGGGGTACAGTTTTTGAAGGAGTGTGGGTGTTTTGGGGGGAGTTGTGAAGGGGTGTGGGGCTTGTAGCAGGTTGGGGGCTGGGTGTGCAAGCGTGTGTGCATGGGTGTGGGAGTGGGTGTGGGGCTGTGTGTGGATTGGTGTGGGGTTTGTGGGGATGTGTGTGTGTAGGATTTGTGGGTGGATGTGAGCCTCCCCACCACACTCTCCCCCATGGCGCACAGCCCTCACTGCTGGCAGCAGCAGCAGGTGGTGAGCTCTTGAGGAACTCCTGGCCCACTGTAGGCAGAGCCTCCCAGAGATGCGTAGCTCCAGCTGAATCCTGGTTGCTGCATGTGGCAGCATGGAACCTGCTCAGCCCACTGTTGCTCACCTTCAAACCAAACCAGGCTGGTTCCATATCAGCATGTGGGGCTCCTGGCACTACAAGTAGGAGCCACATGTGACTGGGCCGGGCCAGCTGTGTGCCTCCACATGGGACTTCCCGTTGGAGTGCTGGAAGCCCCATGGAGAGGCACAGAGCCAGCCTGCCCAAGCCAGCCTGGCCTGACCTGGCTCGATGATGTGCAGCTCCCACCTATAGTGCCAGGAGCCCCACACTGGCTTTCAGAGGGGCACCCACAGGCTGGATAGAATGGCTTGGTGGGCCAAATATGGCCAGCAGGCTGTATTTTGCCTGCTTCTGCTCTAGGGGGTAGTAGTAACTGCAGCTATGATTCCAGCTGTAGTGGTGACTGGGTTGGAAATGGCCTGTGATTTGCAGAATTATATTGCATCAACCCTATTACTTGATTACTAAGTGATTTTGACATGGATCTGTGTTTCATGAATGCACGTATATTAATGTTAATTTTATTACTCACCTACATTTTGTTAATCAAATACTGTACAAGATATTCTATCCCTTTTCCTGGGCTTACAGAGCTGTGTCAGGTTGACAGGCAATTTTTTGCAATTTGTGATGATTCTACCATTTCCTACTCTTAATGTACAAATACCTTTGTTAGAATCATATTTGTTCCTAAACCTCTCTATCTTATCCCTAGTTCATAAATTTCTCTGTGTCCTTTTGCTTCCCTTATCCATTATATCCTTTTGTTTGTTTACAGTTCCTAATGATTTTGCCAATTTATTTGTTATATACAACAATTTTTTTCTGCCCTGGATTATTAAAACGTATTTCTATCTGTTCTCCTCTCTTCATTGGGCTTCTTCCCTTCTCTCCGTCTCTTCTCAGATTCCTTTCTCCTTCTGTCTCCTCCTGGGATGCTCCCTTGGAGTCCCTTAAATCTCCTGCTGGGTCCACTGGTGCAGTTCCCTATTGGCTGCCTGCCTGACCCAGCTGCTCCCTCTTTGCTCGCCGGTGTAGTACTTTCCTTTTTCTTTTGTTCTTTTCCCGTGCTGTTCTTCTTTTCTGGTGTTTGGATTCCGGTGGCTGGGTCTGCTGTGGCAGCCTTTGATCTGCCATGGCCCTAGCCGGCTCCTTGGCTCATCCTGACTGTAGTGGGGTTTGCCATGGCTCCTCCAGCTCTGTGAGGTAAGTTTTTCTCTTTTCCTTTTTTTTGGCCCTGCTTGTGGAAGGGTGCTTCAGGCACAGGGGTCTTTCTAAAATGATAATCATTATGATGTAGGATGGCACTCTATTAGGAGAATATAGTAGAGAAAATGATAGTAGGAACAGGAGATTTAAATTTAAGAGGTTTCTTTTCTATGAGATGAAAAACATGCATAGAATTATCTCTGTTACTCACTGCATTTTAAAATTAGTGAAATTTATTAATCAAATTCAGAATGAAGAGTAAAATAAGAATCTGGTTAGAAGACAAGATGATGGCAAAATATTCAAATAAGATAATTTTTAAAATCTTTTAACGATTTATTAATCCTTGTTTACTGACGTCTGGATTCTTACACCAGAAAGAGCAGGAAGAGAGAATGTGACTGGACTGTTGATATCTTAAGAGATTTTAGAGGAACTATGAAAGTGGTGTATTCTGAGGGCAGTACTTAGCTGCCTTTGACAGATATAACTTCCTGGCTGTTCTAGCTGAAATGATCAACCATACTGAACTTAATCCACCTTGAGAGTTAGCTCTGAAAGTCAGTGATTTAAGGCCATTCAGCTATAAGGTAATGGTCACTCACTGAAAAAACTTCAGATACAAGAAATCAGTGACAGACATATATGGCTGTAGAAGGACCTTTACCTCCTGGTCTACAGTACCACTGTGAATAGTTTTTTGTTCAACAAGCGTGTGTGTGTGTGTGTGTGTGTGTGTGTGTGTGTGTGTGTGTGTGTGTGTGTGTGTGTGTGTGTGTGTGTGTGTGTGTGTGTGTGTGTGTGTGTGTGTGTGTGTGTGTGTGTGTGTGCACATGATTGACCACAGGAGTACCCTCCCAACGGATGACATGATCTACCACAGGGGTATTCCCCCCAGTTGGTGCAATTGACCACCACCCCGCTTGGTGTGATTGGCTGCGGGGGGACCCCCCTCCCCGGTCGGTGTGATTGGCTGGTCACTGACTGGCCACTGGGTGGACAAGTACCCCCTGACTCAGGAGGCAGTATTTGCCCATGGGCAGGGGTGTAGCCAGATACTGGCTGGCATGGTCCCCTAAGGCAAAGGAGAAGGGAGGGGGGTTATTCCCTGTCAGCCCCCCAACCCCCCACTGCTCCAGTGGTAGGGGTAGGGGCATGGCCAGATGCTGGCTGGCATGGTTCCACCATCTGCCTGCCTATCCTGGGCCTGAGGCTGGAGCTGGGGCTAGGGCTGCATGGAAGAGCTGGACCCACGTGTGGATGCTGCTGAGGGTGAACACAAGCACAGAGGGGCCAGGTTGGACTGCAGGGGCAGGGCCCTTCGCAGTCAGCTGTGGCTTGGGCTGGGGTCATGGGAGCTATGTGCCCAGATTGCTCCCAGCTCCCTGCACCCAGGTCAGGATGGAGTGTAATGAAGACACAGCCAGCTGGGAAGGGCCCTGCCCCTGTGGCTCAGCCCAGGACAGCCCCACTATCCACCTGCCTCACTCAGGGCTGAGTCTGGAGGGCTGTGGGCACTGCTGAGGGTAGGGACAGAGATGCTGGCCAGGCCAGGCCAAAGCGGCAAGGCCCTTCCCAGCTGGCTGCAGCTCCATGAGAACCCAGCCCACCATGGGTGCAGGGGCCTGAGAGCAATCTGGGCACACATTTCCTGTAATCCCATACCAAGCCACAGCCTGCATGGAAGGGCCCTGCCCCTGAAAACCAGCCCAACCTGGCCTCTCCTACCTTCCATCAGTGTCTCCTGCAGGCTGGCCGAGATCAACCCTGCAGTCCCAGCCCAAGCCCCAGCCCCAGCCCCAGCCCCAGCCTCAGCCCTGGGTGAGGCAGGCAGATGGTGGGGCCATACTAGCTGGCATCTGTCTATGCACCCTGCATGAGTGCCCAGTGAGGAGGAAGGCCAGGTAGATCCTGGCTGGGGTCTCTGTGCCCATGGGATAGTGAGGGGACAGGGGAGTTTGATCCCTCTCATTGCCCCCCCTTCATCTGAGGTACTGCCCTGGCTGGGGTGTGCCCACAGCCCCCAACACCCCTCCTCATTTGGGCAAAGGCAAAGGCTACTTTTCCTTTTCCCCTCCAGGCACACTTCAGCTGGGGTCCCTGCAGGCCAGGGTGGGGCTTTAAACCCCTACCGAATCATACTCAGTTTCCTGCCAGGTCCTATTCATGCACCCCCCCCCCACCACCACCAGTCAGCTTCTCTCTGGCCTTGAGGCTCCTGATGAAGGGAGGGGAGGAATCACTCTTGCACCCCCCAGCTTCTACCTTGAG